AAAACGATCGAAGGTTTGCAAAAATGTTCATGTCTTTCAAATTAATTTTAAATAATAAAAATAATTATGAAAGATATTGCATCTTCCGATTATTTTGTTTTGCTTTGCTGTTCGTTTTCGTCTCAATTAAACATTAATAGTTAAAAATTATTTCAAACAGCGTTTTTAAGGAAGAGTTTGTGAATTTGCGGTGGTTTCGGTTTTATCTGGAGTGTCGGGAAAAGATTTTGGTCCCGTCCCGCCCGTCATATTTTTACAGATCTTCCCGATACCACCCATTCGGGCCAATTTTAAATCAGTACCGTGGGTCCCGCTATCCCGCGCCCATCTCTATAACATACACAATATGTAACAACCTACATCAATTTTAATGCTGTATTTTTGGAAATTTTCTATTTGGAAAAAACAAAAGAATGTAAAATTAGGCCATAAATAAAAATAACTTAAGGACGAGCACACCTAAAGTTAAATATTCTAAAACTAGAATATGTATTAACAAAAAACCAATAATAACAACAACCACATGAGCATGTCTAAATAGCAGTAGAATAGCTGCCCTTTATTGTTGTTGGGTTTACATATGAAAAAGTGAAAAAAGCAACAATAGTTTACGTAGCGAACATAGCTCAGTGGGTAGACCATTGGCTTTGTTGTAACCCGAGGTCGCTGGTTCATATCCCAATCATGGTGGTTGACGTGGTGATCTCCGAAATAATAGCTATAACTTCTACCAAAATGTAAATTACTGTTGTTTTCACAAAAATTTTCATTAATAACGACCTCAAGCTTAATCAAATTGTTGAATATACATAATTGTTATTAGGCCATAAATAACAAAAAAAAAAACAAAAAGTAAAATTTCATATACATAAATTTTCATAAGACGAAGCTTCAATGATAGTACATATTTCTAAATTACTTAAAGCATTTACTAAAATTGAAATAAAAATAACGCGAAATTATAAGTTTTTTATACATGTATGTAAGTACAGTGCCGCACTAAATTATTAGCACAGGTAATTGGCAACATTCTTTTTTTCATATAATCAATTCCACCAAATATGCCAATATTATTATTTTTTTTAAATAAATTCAGATTGCTTATATGTATATGTACATACATAGGTATACATGAAAAAATTAGAAATACATTTCTCTACTGCTTGGTCTTTAAAGGAAAAAATTGTATTCAATCCTTCTTTGTTCGTAACTTCTATATCTCTGCGGCTGTTTTACTTCGTAACTTTGATTTATGCTTAAGAAGGAGCGCTCACTGGAAGCAGGTGTCACAGGAAGTTTTGCGTCTATTTGCACGAATCGGTCCAGCAATATTGTTGGACTATGATCCGTAGGGACATTGAAAAAAATGCCTATACAGAACCATTATCAACCGCATAAACTTATAATTGTGTAAACTTAAATCAACTGTCAAAATTTGTATCGAAACTTGTTTACACATTTCTAATTCTCCAACGATTTCACTGAATAATCTTAATAAACTAAAGCCAAGGCAACTATGTATGTCGCAAGTGTGCACGAAAAGAGAGTATGGGGCGTTAATGTAACAGACGTCTTAAATTAATAAAGGGTTCACTGGAGACTCGATGGGGGTCTACGGAGTGAAAGTTGTAAGTGGGAGTCCATGGAAATTTATCTGGTTTCGATAGTAAAGAACCAAAATGGTTGCTTGATTGCTTGTTTTTTTAACTTTAACTCTTTGACTGGTGTATAGTAGAGTCCGACCGATAAATCGGCCGATGCCGATGTTAGTATCGCAAAAGAATCCGAATCTGCCATTTTTGGCCGATTCTTGAATTAGGTATTGTTATTTAGTTATTTGATGATGTTTTTATTTTGTTATCATAAAAATTTATAAAAGCGTTTGTTCTTAAAATGTAATTATATTCAGGATTTAATCGGCAAAGAATCGGCCGATGCTTCGGCCGATTAAATCCTTAATTAAATTCATTTCAAGAACAAATACTGCTAACAACTCTTTTAATAACAAAAGAAAAACATAATCAAATAACTAAATAACATAACCTCATTCAAGAATCGGCCAAAAACGGCCGATGCCGATTCTTTTGGTCTCTACTAGCCCCGGCATCGGCCGATTAATCGGTCGGACTCTAGTGTATAGTGCTCTTGACGCACTACTGTACTTACCGTCGCTTTGTGTCTTCATACGTGGGAAAGCCGTACAGACCACCTGCAGACTAAACATAAACGGATGTTGGTATAACAGGCGAGGCAGAAATTACTGGCGGCAGATATTTGAGCACTTGTGTATTTTCAATGCCTCAGGATAGTACGCCATCATCACCTTTGTTGAAGGGATTATATAATGTTGGGTTCCCTGAGGCTGAATTCTGGTTCAATTCCAGCACTGACGAGCCTAGACTCACACATTGTCGAATCTTCACTGATGGCTTCAAAACTAACTCTTGGTCAGGATATGGGGTCTTTTTCGAAGTTAATGGGGATAAGCTTCACTTTTCTCTTGAAGAGTATGCTTCGGTCTTCTAGGCGGTGGTACAATAACACCATACGGAATAAGGCCATATGGTCTTATTTCCATTTTGTTTTGGAAATATAACCATATGACGTTATTTCCTATGCAGAAGTGAAATAAAGTCACATTAAAATTTGTACGAATTAGTAATAAATTCATAATTGAAATCAGTGTTGCCATTTTAAAATTTCATATTGTAAAAATTGCCTGTTTTACACATATCTCATAAGTTTCTTACAATTCCTGAACCCTCAATTTTTTTTATTAAAAAATGCTTATTTTCGTTCTTTAAAACTCAAACATGAGAAGAGGATTTATAGGCCTTTAAAACTATATATAAAAATCTATTGGTAGACTTTGATTGTTAGGAGTTTTTGTCGCGTAAAATAAAAAAAAAACTAATTTTGTTTATTTTTCAACTTTAACTATCGCGTCAAATACTATACTGATACTCGGCAGTGCCGACCACCTACCTGAAAAGTTTTGTTACATGTACACGCAGTGGTCCTGAAGTATAATTAAATGCCTCCAAAATGTGGCCGAATTTTAGTTGCGGTATATGTTTCTAGGGCAGATTAAAAATTCGAAATAATCAAAATCCTAGCTGCTCCCTTTCTCAATAAATTGATATTTTCGTGTTTTCAACCCGAATTGGCGATCCCCGTTCACGTAACACACTGAAGCTATTCTAACGGGTGATTTTTTTGAGGTTAGGATTTTCATGCATTAGTATTTNTATTACTGTATATACTGTGCTAACTCGGAAAACCCAAAAAAGTTTCATTTTATACCCGAGCGCACTTGTGCACAAGGGTATTATAACTTTGTTCACATAACGGTTGTTTGTAACAGGCAAAACCAATCGAGATAGATATAGACGAATGTATAAAAATGTATAAATGATCAGAATGAAAAGAGAAATGGATTAAGCGATCCGCCCGCCCGCCCGTCTGTACACAGGATAATTCGAGTAAAAATTGAGATATCTTAACGCAACAGGGTACGTGCACTTCTTTCGAGCATAGGACGGATGGTATTGAAAATGGGCACAATCGGACGATAACCACGCCTACCTCCCATATAACGGTAGTTTTCAGAAATACGAAAACTGCGATATTTTAATAACTACTGAAGGGTATTCACTAAAAACTGATATTTACAATAATTTTTAGACGAAAAATAAGGACAATAACCCACATCCCATATAACGGTAATTTAGAGAAATACGAAATCTTCGATAAATCAGTAAATATTAAAGCTAATTTATTGAAAATTTATGCTTGCAATAATTCTTAACAAGAAATACGCTTTTAATAAAATTTTGGAAAATGGGTGTGGCACCGCCCACTTATGATCACATATATGTATCTCGATAACCGTTCTACCAATTTTTACCAAACTCGGTGTGGTTATTGTGCTTGCCACATAAAAGCAAAACGTTGAAAATTATTGAAATCGGACTAAAATTGAGGCCGCTTTTCATATAACGGTAAATTTTAGAAATGCTTGAAACTTCAATATTTGTAAATTTAAGGACGCTAATTTACTCAAAATTGTAGCGGTAGCTTTCGGAAAGGTGGAAATCATATACATATCTAATACTTGCGTCGGGTATTTCAAATTGTCCATTACAATCATTTCCACTACTGATTGCGTCAATTTCTGATGCTCCGAACCACCTGATGCAAAACTCTCTACATTTGAAAACACAGTGTTTATATTTGGCTGATTGCTTCTTGGTGTAGGGTTTTGGCTCGTGCTTGGCAATTCATTGCTATCCTCTGTGACACAACTTGCTTCATGCAATGCTTCATTGTTTCTCTGTAGTACACATTGTACATTAAAGTTGCGATTAATTGATGGTGGAATTTTTAACTTATGTACTTTTAGGGCTTCAGCCTCCTTTGAATGTTTCAACTTTAAGTGCTGCATCATATTTGTTGTGTTGTTGGAGCACTTTAAAGTTTTGCAGCACAACTTACACCTTACATCTGTAGAACTCTCCTTTGAAAAATGCTTCCAAACATCACTTCGTATTGGAGGCATTTTCCTTTTTTTCGCTTGAATAAAACCTTATAAATAAAATAATAAATAAATATAAACAATATAATTTTTTGAAAAAAAAATTTAAAAAGCGCTGCTGATGTGAAATGGTTTTGTTTTCTAGTGGCGTACATCTTTCGATTATTTTGGAAATAATCGATTAATATTGCAATTAATCAAAAGGGCTTTCACGATACAATTAAACCGACAAGTGAAGGAAAATAACCGATTAATATTAATTGTTCGATTAAAGACAGCTTAGCCTCACAAAGTACTGTAACCTCGTCATGCGTCTTAAAAAAAGGAAAGGAATTTACTTCTGTGACAACCCCAAACTTATTCTTTTCCACTAAAGAGCCTGACAAATTTCTATAGCTTCAATAATAGTATATATAAATTGGTGGCTATACATGATAATACTGAGGTAAAAATATCAGGGAAAGAAGTTCTTAATTTACATGACTTTTTTGAAACTCCTATACGGTCAGGGAACCTGAATACCAAATGTTGCATGGAATTGGAGTTTTCTACCACTAGCGTTCAACATTCATTACAACAGATATCAAAAATTATATAATTTAATAATGAATGCGTAAATTTCTTTATTCCTCTTATCCATTCCTAATAAACGTTAAAGCGACAGACATGGACTTTAATATCAGTTTTAGCAGTGCGACGAACGACACACCAATAACAAGAAAAGGTTAACACTATTTTAAATTAATTAATTTTACAAACATAAACTACTTTTTATTATGTTTTTTTTCAGATCTTCAAAGTTTGGAAGAAAAAGTATTAGAGCAGATAAGGAAATCCGAGAAAAAAATTTTTAAAGGTAAACTAATTATACATATCGCTCATTTACTTCAATAATGTCACAACTCAAAAAAGCAGCACTCGAGATAAATAGCTTTAAAATTTTGAATTTACATATATGTATGTACATTAGCGTGGGCCGAAAATCCGCTTTTTTAGAATTTCGATTGGTAATAGCAAAAATATGGTTCATAATGCTCTAAAAACAATCTGTGTGAAAAATGAAAATTTTTGGTCAATATCTTAGACTCGCCCAAGTCCATCAAAGTTCAATGGCTTAAAAAAATAAAAATTAATAAATACATTAATTAATAAATTTTTTTTACTAAGATTGCAAGTATCCTCGAAAGTATTAGTCCTACATACTTTGGTATATGAACCTTTTTTGTAAAGAATCGAAGTAAATAAACTAAAAAAAAATGTTAGCACTTGAACTTTGATGGACTTGGGCGAGCCTAAGATATTGACCAAAAATTGTCCTCTTTCACACAAATTGTTTTTAGAGCATTATGAACCATATTTTTGCTATTACCAACCAAAATTCTAAAAAAGCGGATTTTCGGCCCACGCTAATGTACATATTACATATAGTTACGGTGACCATATTAACCGACGTAAAATAAAGGACATTTTTTTCAAAATGATTTTGGAATACGTACATACAACTCGTATGACAAAAGTACCTTACACATATCTTAATTTAAATCAAATATTTACAGTCAATTAANCCAACCAAAATTCTAAAAAAGCGGATTTTCGGCCCACGCTAATGTACATATTACATATAGTTACGGTGACCATATTAACCGACGTAAAATAAAGGACATTTTTTTCAAAATGATTTTGGAATACGTACATACAACTCGTATGACAAAAGTACCTTACACATATCTTAATTTAAATCAAATATTTACAGTCAATTAAATTATTTAATTGTACAAGTTCCCCTGCTGTAGCGAAAAAATGAAGCCAAATCCTTTTCAAGGACTTCGCCTTCCCTTGCTACCAAAATGCGTTTACGATAATTCATACTGTACGACGAAGCCAGCACACAGTGGTTCAATATTTGGAATTTAATGTTCATAATCCACCGAAACCTTAATTTTTCAACCAATTTTTACTAAAAAGCAAACAAAAAACTATTTAGTTTGGTGAACATTTTTTATAACATTTCAAAATTTTTTGTTTTTGTATTTTTTTTTTTGTTTTGGAAGAACCGTATAATTGTTTTCAACTAGTTTGTGTTATGTAACATTTATTAACTGGAACAGGAGAGTACATTTTCTTCAAAATTTTTACTTTTTCTGCATTTTGCACAAAAAAAATAATATAACCAAATAAAAATTCAGAAATCAGGCTTAACTGGTCTCTTGGAAATACTGTAAGCTTTCATAAAAAAAATATAAAATTAATCAAATGAAATGAAAAATGAAGGCTCCAGTGAATTACGAACACTAAATGCCAGTTTTGAACCACTAAGCAGCAGGGGTTTAATGTTCTAGTTCAGTGGAACTGGAAACTCAGCGTGGAACACCATCCTGGGCACAACTTTCCCTGGGCTTTATAGATTGTACAAAAATAACCGATTAAATAGAAACCCTTAAGTGAGGTGCGAAATCAACTGGGGATGGTTTTCATTATATTTTATAAGGAACATTTTTATTTTTTATATTCTCCGTTAAAAAAATACCTCTGAAAAATGCAGAGCCGATTTAAAGGACAGTTTAAGAAATAAAGGACAAAAGGCGTCCTTTATTTTGAAAAAAATTATAAAGGACAGGGGGTTAAAATAAAGGACAGTCCTTTAAAATAAAGGACGGATGGTCACCGTACATATAGTAAAAGTGAATATATATTTTATTCGAGTAAGATAGTGGTAATCGATATAGCTATGAAATTTTTACACAACATTGAACAAATTTTTAGATTATGGCACTATTGAATTAAATGCGCGATATGTATGTATGTATGTATTTAAAAAATTAAACACATATATATATATATATTAGGGCGGGTCGATTTAAAAATCGCTCATTGCTCTGTGAAAATCGTATTCTAGGGATCAAAATAAGAAACTTTGCCGAAGGAACCATACCTCTAAAACGAATTCTGATGTCCCCCAATTTGGGTCGAACTTTTGGGTAGGGGCAAATTTTGAAAAATCCCACTTTGACCCATTTAAAGTGCTCCAATCGAGTCCAAATGTATGACCGACCCCCACTAACTTTGGACGGCCGATCCACCCATGCCAGTGGCACACCCCCTGGAACTCCCCTGGGGGGTTCCCCATACAATCATTTCAAAAAATCACCATTTTTGGCCTTTACATGAAAAAATCAGCTAAATGGCTATGTTTTTTCTTTATTTTTATTTATTTATTTATAATAATATTTATTATTTATTTATAATAATATCTATTTTTTCTCTTAAGAAATTTATTTAGTCAGAACATATGTAAATGAAAAAATTAATTTAAGTGAGTTATAGAAAAGAAACTAAAAAAAATTATTGTTTGAAGTCTTTTTTACTTTCAAGTCTGGGCAATTTCGCACGGCTCTCTAATGTCGTCGCCATAACAGCCTCTACATTTTCCGGTATAACCCGTTTGGAAACGCTAGCTAGCAATTGAACATGTCGTTCCGTTCCTTGTATGTGTGATGGAATTTTTGGATCATTAAACGGTGGATCATCTTGATTTAAATATTCTTTCAATGTATCGTACGGAATGCTTCGCGTGAATGGTGGTTCAAATACGATATTTATATCATTCAAATTGATCATTTCCGTATAACTTGTGCAATTAAAGTTTATATCTGGTTTTTTATAAACTCTAAGTTCCATTGGCTCGTCAACATCGGTTCGATAGCGTAGAATTTTCTTGATGGCACAGTCGCGCTTTTCTTTGCTATCATCAAACAACATTGATAACAAGATATTTTCCGAATGCGCATAATATGAATTATCTTTAATTACTTGATTGACAATTTTGCGTAAACGAGGTTCTAGAAATCGTGACCAACCAATGAACTTGAAAAATAATGCACTGCCGTACACGACAGAGCTGTAATACTTGATATTGAAGTACATTGGCACATAACATTTAATTATAAATTCAACCAGAATTCTTAAATTTGCATCTGGATTTTCCGTTGTCACATATAATCGCAATAATCTAGCGGCCTTGGTGAGCCACCGAGAATGTACAATTTTCCCTGGTTTGATGTTAGCCAGATCCACCGGAACCACGCCGCTAGAAATTGCATGGGCCATGTCGTATAAGTACTTCGAATCGGTGGAAAATTCAATTTTTTCAGGAGCAGGGGGCATATTTTGCAACTCAATTTTCTGGAAGCCGTCCACCACCTGAAAATATATAATAATAAAATAATTAAAAATGGTTGACAATTATAATAAATGAGTGATAGCAATAACTTACCGGAAGAGTTTCACAAGTTTCGATTTGACGGCTCAGTTTTCCGGTTGCCGATCTTGGTCCAGTGCTGGTTGATTTATCCAAAGCTTCAAACAAATGCCGAAACGGAAGTTCGTTGAAGTGTAGAAGGCAAACGAACCAATGCAATGGTCTTTTTAACAGCAATTCGAATCGTCGTATAATTCCACCGTGTGGGCCAGTGTTTGTTGGCTCACCGTCAGTGCATATTCCAATTAATGCATCCAGTGATATATTTTTATCGTTGAAAAAAACATTTAATTTGGTTGTTTTGTATTCAGCGGTTTCATGTTCCAGTCTTACGTAACCAATCAATTCAGAATTGGGTTCTCTCAAAATAACAAGATGAGGTTCTTTTACCATCCTAGTATGATACTTCTCATCAATTTTATCTATCGTTAAAGTATCATCTTTTCTGCCATCGAATGAAAACGCTAACAAATTGGTATCATCTAACCGTTTGCGAAGCACTTCTTGTCTGCATTTCTCTTTTTCTCTGCGAACTTTCGATTTATCCATGATGAGAGGTTTCCCATGCTTATCTTTAATTTTAAAATCTTGCAAAAGAGCGGTTCCCAATGCTGATGCTACTCTGTCAGGCACACCAAATCTGTCACATACCAAGGCAAAGTTAAAACAATCGTATCTCTCTGTGTATTGTGAACTTGTGCTTCTATCCATATCTTCTTGAACCGGTGGCGGTGCGTATGTTGAATCATCGGGATCTTGGTATGTTGGCATTGATGACATAGACGTTGCTCCTTGCTCTTCAGTTTCCATCACAAATGCATCCATTGTTAGTCTTCTCTGATTATGTTGATCGTGCATGAACTCTTTGAGGCGTTCGGGAACCCAGCCGCATGCACATGGAGCTGCCTTCAAATCGCATTTACATGTTCCAATGTAAAAAATTGTTTCCAGAGATTTTACATACTCTGTAAATTGTTGGGTGTTGTTTCTTCTCTTGATTTGCTCTTGATACTTGTCAAGCAATTTATTCAATTTATTAAATACACTTTTTTTCAGCATTATTTCCATACCAAGTTTTTCCCAAATTCCAATCAACTTATCTTGTACTTGAATAGTGAATGATTTATGGGAAAACTTTTTTTGTTCTGTTTTAGCACGTTCGCTTAAGTAAAAATAATATCTCAAGATATCCAGATGGGTTGGTAAATTAAGATCAGTTAAATCAGTAGACACACCAAAAACAGTAACATCATGCTTGGGTATATGACTCATTGGGTTTTCGATAGTTGTTGATGTAGTTGCTTCATCTTGCGGTGTAGAGGATGGTGGATTCATTGTAAACTTTTTGATTTGGAATGGTCACTTCACTTATTATTTTTTTTGAAATATTTTTTTATCTGAAATTAGCACTTCACACTTTGAGTTCTTCACAACGACTTAATGCATTCACAAAAACTGTTGCGTTATATATGGTCTACGAGACGAGGTAATAAGAATGAAATGGTAATTTCAATTCTACCTGCTGTGTCTTGTGGTGGCTTAAAAAAAACAACACAAGCAATTTTACGATCTGCAATTGTGTCACAGTGATACCTTCATTGTTTAAAAGGGTTGCGGTGCATTCCAGTGATACCTTAATTGTTAAAATGGTTGCAAAAAACGCGCATTTCTTAAGAAGGTGCCTTAAAATACCCACAAAAAGGGTTGTAAAAACAACCTTCATTTCTTAAGTAGGTGCTATAAAAAAACTACACAAGTAAGTTTACGACATGCAGCTGTGTCTTAAAAAACGCACACAAGCAATTTTCCGATTTGCAATTGTGTCACAGTGATACCTTCATTTTTTAAAACGGTTGAATAAAAAACCCACACAACTATGTTTACGACATGCAAATGCATCACAGTGATGCCTTGGTTTTAAAAGGGTTGTAAAAAACGCTAACTCTAATATTTTTTTTAAATTTCTTTTCTATTACTAAGTTAAATTCATTTTTTCATTTACATATGTTCTGACTAAATAAATTTCTAAAGAGAAAAAAAAACTCCAAAAAGAAAAAACATAGGCATTTCGCTGATTTTTTCATGTAAAGTGCAAAACCGGCGATTTTTTGAAATGTTTGTATGGTGAACCCCCAGGGGGGTTCCAGGGGGTGTGCCACTGGCATCGGTGGGTCGGGCCTCCAAAGTTAGTGGGGGTCGGTCATACATTTGGACTCGATTGGAGCACTCTAAATGGGTCAAAGTGGGATTTTTCAAAATTTGCCCCTACCCAAAAGTTCGACCCAAATTGGGGGACATCAGAATTCGTTTTAGAGGTATGGTTCCTTCGGCAAAGTTTCTTATTTTGATCCCTAGAATATGATTTTCACAGAGCAATGGGCGATTTTTTTGCCTCCCCACAAATCGACCCGGCCTAATATATATATATATATATATACATATATACACTTTACAGAAATAGATCACAACCAAAAATCAATAAAGCGAAGCCTTACACGAATTTTGCAAGAAAGAAAACAAAGGAAATACAGCCACAAAACTTCATGGAATGAGATTATCCCCAAAACACCCTTTGGCAACATTGAGGATTTTAAAAAATTTGAAAAGGAAATTAAGGACCATTCTTCCAAATACGAAAGTCTGGTAATTATTTTGTTCAATCAATATGAATGAACTATTATATTAAGTGATTGCAAAAATTTATTTTTAGTCTGAAGAACTTTCGCATATAATTTGTACGAGCAGTGAAAAATTTATTAAAATGGCTTGGCGTAAAATTGTTACGGATAACGCAGCACAAAATTTATGCTGGAAAGGGACAAACACCAAAGTGGCAGCAAGAAGTTTAAGCATTACAGCAGCTTTAAAAAGTATACTGTTTCAATAACATGCATGCAAATTTATTTATTTGTTAGTTCTATCTTCCAGATGTACTTTCCGTGAAATTTCCCCAATCCACAGACGACGAACTCGCACGAACCTTCATTACCTTTTTCCAGCATGCAAAAGGACGACTTCTAAAACGCACTGTATATCAAAGCAATAGAAATAGTAGTCTAGAAACCTAAAGACAACTTCATACCAGGGCTCGAAAATGCCATTTTCGTATACATCCATTTTGTCACCGAAAATCACATACAAATGTGTATATAGTATGTATTGCTAGTTTTTGCTGAACAATCCAAGCCCTGTATATAGTCATTTTAATTTTAAGTAAAAGTAAAAAAAAAAACTGAATTATACCTGAGTTTAAGAAAACTAAGACTGAATGAATTAACAATACTTTATCCATTTATTTTAATTAAAGTGCTTTATAATTTTAAAAATGAACCTTCTACTTTTTCAATTTTCTAAACTTGAGCTAAAACGGGGTAAAAAATGGTATTTAACCATTCTAATTTAAGTTAAGCTATTGTATTTGTACATATATATTTTGTCGAAAATATAGTTCATGCTACAATGAAATCCACATAACCTGAAGTTTTAAACCTTGTACAAGATTTATAAAAATTCACCACATTTTTTGAAATCAAACGAATTTTTATAAATCTTGTACAAGGTTGAAAACTTTAAGTTATGTGGATTTCGTTGTAATAAAAAAATTAAAAGAAATATAGAAAAAGTAAATAGTCAAAATTTTTAAAGACAAATTGTGGCTGACTTCCAAAACGTATCAATACATTGTTTGGAAACTGTTATACTGCGGTATTCAAACTGTTTGTATATGCAGAGTTGCGACACATTGCAATCATATACATTGCATATTTTAAATACTCAATATAGCAATGAACAGTTTTTCTGAATTTTCCATTTTTAAAACACCAATGGTAACCAATAACAAACGAAGCATCAACTTTGTTTCTGATGCGCTGCATGCGCTAGCGATGCGTTTCGATAAATTTTCGGATGCGTTTTGGAAAAGTATACATCGTCAACATTTTGTAGTTCGGCGTTATGGAACATTATACTTTGTACGTATGCAAAGCAATTGACGTTTTGGAAGTCAGCCTGTTTCTAATTATCGGCCCGCCGCACTATAGGTAAAACACGAGTTTTTTTCAAAATCGTAGATCTTCCGTTAGAGAAGAGATAATGGAATGAAAATTTTTTTTTATCGTGAAGATGAATGATCATAGAATATAGGAAAGCTATAGCGAAGTTACAAGTTAAGTTAAGTTATTGTTGTTGTAACTTATCAATAGTTTTCCTATATTATATGATCATTTGTCTTCACGATAAAGAAATTTTCATTCCATTATCCATGGCGCCTATAGTGCGTCGGTGTAAAATTTAAGGAATTCCATTTATTTTTTTGAAACGAGGCTAAATGTAACACTTATAAGGACTGCATGTGAATGAACTTTAAGTAAACCATTTTATTAATTTTTAGCAATATTTTTTAATCTAATCTTAACAAATTTAATTAATCTAAATTAATTCATCTTAACAAAACACAAAAAACACAAAGCATATGATAGTTTTAAAGTTTTGAAAAAAATTTAGGTAAATAAGCAATATTCCAAATTAATGAATCATATATTATGTTTAAGTTCAAATAATTCATTATTACTATTTTATTGGGAATAAATTTAATACAAGTTTTACAAACAACGCGTTTTATTTAATAAAGCAAAACACAGCAGTTTGAAATTCACATTCGACTCCCATTAGAGATCAGCATTAGAATTCGATTAGAGAATTATTATTTTCTCGAGTCGAGAACTATGTGCCATTTTTGTTGTGATCGCTATGATTCTCAATAGTTTTTCGAGTCATTCTCTAACGTTTGAGATTGGAGAATGTGGCTAGTTCTCCAATCATTCTCTAATCCGTAACTAACCTCAATGTTTGCTGGGTAAAGGCTGGTGAAAGTTCCAAGCCTATGTTAAGTGCTACGCCCCATTTTACAAACTCATTTACCTTACTGTAAGCACCTACCATAGATATGTCTGCATACCAAATTTCAAGTTCATGTAACTTATGGTTCCGAACTGCTTTATATATACCTTAAGATAAGCATCTACCATAGATATGTTTGCATACCAAATTTCAAGTTCATGTAACTTATGGTTCCGAACTGCTTTATATATACCTTAAGATAAGCATCTACCATAGATATGTTTGCATACCAAATTTCAAGTTCATGTAACTTATGGTTCCGAACTGCTTTATATATACCTTAAGATAAGCATCTACCATAGATATGTTTGCATACCAAATTTCAAGTTTATGTGACTTACGGTTCCGAAGTTAGAGCTGATTAAATAATTTACGCCTATGGGAGGAGGCACGCCCCCTTTTCCAATACCGTAAATTGTTTCCCATGAGTATGGAATTAATTTTATTTATCTCGACAGTATAGGCGGCGCCACGCCCTCTTTTCTAGTACTGCCCATTTTTCTCTATGCCTATAACCTTCCCGGGGTAAAAGCAAATAAGTGTGCAAAGTTTCGTACGATCCGTGCCGCGGTTCAGAAGATATTAGGTAATAAACAAACAGACATTCACATTTATATATATAGATGAAAACAAAAACGCCTGGACTGGACGAAAGGAAACGGAACGCAGAATACCAAAATTGCCAAACGGAAAAAATTTCGATTGGAGTCGAAATGCAGAATAGGGCTGAATTTTCGTGATTGGGATTAAGAAAAATATTTGGGATATGATTTGCACCAAATTTTGGCAAATACCCAATCGTGTGACACTGTCTTTAAACTTGTATTTATACGGATGTTGTTCGAGAATGAACTGTAAAAAACTAACCAAAATTAAATAACAACGAAAATTATATTTTAAAACTTGTGAAAATTTGGTGCGGCTATAATTTTTTCGACTACTGTATATTAGACTGCATCCCCAAAAAAAGTTTCGGTTTTTCCGGCGGGATTACCAAACCTAGTATATTTAAGGACCGTTACAAAATACCTATTAAAATGGATTTTTTTATGAATAAAAATAGTTTCTTAAAGGATTTTTTTGGAAAAAATCCTCTCAGATGACAAAACAGTTTAAGCTTAAAAAATCTACATAAAAATATTAAAATTGTATCAACGGAATCATAATAATGAGATTTTTTATGCTATTTTTTAACTTTTTTCAAAGATTTGTGTAAGAAAAACTTTAATCACTGCTCCAAAACTTTTCCGATATAGGTATCAGTGGAAAGGTATTTTTTCACCTTTTTTATTTCTTTTCAAAAAAAACTTATTCCCGTCCCAATTTTTTCTTTATTTAATACCAACACATCTTAATTCAATATGGAATGATACTCGTTTATCTTACCTTCATCTTTCATACTTTGAATGAGCTTATTCGCAAAGAAATTAAAAGGGTGGGAAAATACCTTACCAATGATAACTTATTAGTCCAAATTGGTAAGGTTTTGGCTGAGTTATTCAAGTTTTACTTAAACGAGTCTTTGAAAAAAAGTGCAAAAACAGCATCAAAAACCTCATTATTATGATTCCGTAGAAACAATTTTTTTCTTTTAATATTTTTATGAAAACTTTTTAAGAATAAACTGTTCAGTCATCTGAGGTAATTTTTTCAAAAAATATTAAAAAAAACTGTTTTTATTAATAAAAAAAATAAATTTTTGGAGGTATTTTCAAATCGGTCCATCTCGTGTAAATCTTAATATTTTTGCGAGATATTTTGGTGGAAGTCTTAAAATCAGGGACCGTAACTCATGACTTTTATCAAAAAAAATCAAAAAATAAGAGTTATTTTTGTTTTTTATATATTTAGATCAAAAATAAGAGTAATTTTTGTTTTTTATATTTTTAGATCAAAAATAAAAGTTATTTTTGATTTTTATATATTTAGATCAAAAATAAGTTATTTTTGATTTTAATTTTTTTAGATGAAAAATAAAAGTTATTTTAGATTTTTATATTTTTATATCAAAAAATAGTTATTTTTGATTTTTATATTTTTATATCAAAAAATAAGAGTTATTTTTGATTTTTATATTTTTATATCAATAATAAAAATCAATTCAAAATTCTTATTTATTTATTTATGTCGTATGTATTACAATATGCTGCATCATTCCAATTTGTATATATGAATATATGCGACCTATCCATTATCAAAGATCCAGTAAACTACGTAGATATATTCACGGTGGCAATGCTTGAATTAAAACAGTATTCAGAAGAAGCAAATTTAGGCGTAGTGATAAAGAAGAAACTGACAATTAAAATATAGACAATTATGAAAATATTATGGATAATGTATCAGCTATATAAATGAATAGGGCGAAATAGAAAAAATTCTAAAATTCTTAGCTTACGTAAAACTTAAAAAGTAATGGTTACTACTGCGAGAGGCTTATAAGTTTTGGCTGCCATTCAAGTCAGTGTTAAGAGGTGTTTTCAGGTGTTCAATTTTACCATCATAATTGATTCTAAATGTTCCTCAGATAAATTATATCTCAAATCTCCCAATATCAATCTGAGTGCCGAAAATGACCTTTCTACACTGACTTGAGTGGCAGGTACAGAATGAACAATTAAAGCTAATTTTCGAAGCCATGGAAACGCAAATTTTTTGCTCTCCCAATATTCCAATAAATTAGCAGAAGTATCCAAACGTTTTTCTTTATAATTGTCTATTTCAAAATACGCTTTACGGACGCTGTCATTTATTGACGTAGGAATATCATCGTCGTCCGAAGACGAATAATTCATCTCCATTGACTTTAAACCGTCTGCTAATAAAGATCGAGAGCTTGCAATGGAGCTTTCATCTATTAGAAATAAGTTTCAGTGTTTTGCTTGAATACAAATAAAAAAACATTAAAAATATATTATAAATTATTTTAAATTTATTGTCTTAGCTCACCACGTTTACTAGCTGGAGCACCATTTTTTTAATGATTTTTTGCCGAGTTTATTTTCTCATTTGAGAACACACGCTTAAATCTGGGGTCTAAAAACAAGGCTGCATACATAGTGTCACATTCAAGCAACTTTGTTTGCCTTATTTCGATGTGATCCAGAAGTTGTCTGGTCATATCAATATTGAAGCCTTTTAGAGTAAAAATAAGCTCTAGCCAATTTTTAGAAAAATCTCCGAACAATAAATTAAATTTTTGTAGTTTCAGCGTCAGAGTATTTACTGGTTGTAGAGCCTGTATAATTTTTTCTAGTTCCGCCCACTCATGTGTTTGGAGTTGCTCGGACAATGGCAAATGTTCAGAGCAAAATTCTTTTAAATCTAGAAGTCGCTTCAACATATTATAAGTGGAGCTCCAACGTGTTGGTACGTCCATTATTGGTTTGAGGTTTTGGCTACTTTTTATACTATGTCTGGAATAGAATGAAAAATTTAACAAAAACACATTTTGTACATGTAAAGTTTAAGGAAATAACTTACCGATATGCAGGTGTTCTCAAATATTTTACACAGTTCCGTGACTTATTCACTACATTTGTATTTAAGTTATCTAAAAAGTCTTTAAGAGCTAACTGCAATGTGTGGGCAGCACATTTAATATAAATAATATTTTCGAATCTTACATTGCACACAATACTTTCGTAATTGTCTTCACTTTCACTGTCACTTTCTTCGTCATCACCATGCTCCACCGCTTTCACCATATTACTGCCAATATCAGTGGTTACTGCATAAACTTGCGCCTTA